AGGATATCTACAATTATAGTAGAGCATTTTCTAAGTTCTTTTCTCTCGGCTTTCCAGATATCATCTTCAAGTTTTTTTATTGCCGTATCTCCTAATAATCCTAAAACTCCCACTATTATTGGTAGTACTTTACATCTGATGTTCCACATTCTTCAAATTTTAATTTTCAGATCTTTATACTTGTATCTTTTTTCCGCCTCTGTTGGAGCAATGTTTTTGTCAGTCTGTATCGATATTTCGATCAGCAGGCTTGTTATTTCAACCTTATCTACGGCGATGATGCTTCATTATTTTTATCATTATAACAATTATTGTTATGATTTCAGATCCCAAAAAATGTCATTCATGTTTTGGTTGGTGATGGTGAATCCAGATCCCAAATGATTTCATCCATGTAAATGTTTTTAGAAAACCCAGTGATGAAGTTTTTCTGGACGCCACATAGCGCTGCTTTCCATGCAATTATTTCATCAAGCGTCCCAAATTTTTACTTCCGTCGATCCGGAATTATCTCAAACACTGGGATGATTTCCTTTCAAGTGGGCCACACTCATTGAATTTAAATTCGAAGATGTCAACATTTTTCTAAGGACCTTAGACCAAGATACGTCTGTCATTGCAAACATTTCTCCTATCCTATTACTGATTTTTAAATCCGGACTGTTGTCTGGGATGTTTCGATCCGTGATTCTTTATTGGAGTGTCCCAGAAAATTTTTCCATCCTTATGATTTTAAACCCTCTGGACATACTGATTATTATTATTATTATTTTATTATTATTATTATTATTATTATTATTATTATTATACCTTTTATCGGAACAATAAAAACAACAAAATTATAAAAATTTAAATGCATATCTAAATAAAGAATATGAAGATTGTTCTATAATAATTAATACATTTGAGCTGTCGCCAATTGGTTTATGTAATAATTTTAATTTATCGATATTTAAATTTACATGGTCAATACCGTTCAACTTTAAATTAATAAACAGTGTTATCAGCTCGTCATATGAAATTTATTGTGACAGAAACATTGCCTAATGCTATTTTAAATATAACTTACACCCATGCACTTGCCATTGGCAATGAGGATGGGTGGA